ATAATACTGGAGATAATTACTATGCCTGGTTAGAGTTTAAGAGCAATTTCCTGAGGCACCACTTGTAAAAGTGAAAGAACATACATTGGAATGAAGGCTAGTCAGCTATATACTAAAAGAGAAATAAGGAATTATTACACAGAGGCTGTTTTCCAATAGCAGTTTAAATAATAATCACATCATCCCCAATGATCTCTCAAAATCTTTCATAATATGATTTTACTATATGGATACATAAACTCAAATTTCTAAGTTTTTAGGCACATGACAAAACCAAATCAATCACAGTCCAATTTCATACCATTTATTTACAAGATGATCAGTGCTTTATCATCTAACAGTACAACTTATTAAGCTCTAAAGCAGAATTTGGATTTCTTCTGGAAACCAAATTATGTTCTTATTTTAAATAAGAATCATTAGCAATATTAACAAAAATCTTAAAATAGATTTAGAACATTGAAAAAGAATACTGAAAACTGCAAGAACATTGTTTTATGTTTAAAAGAAACCCATTAAATTTGAAGGGAATAGTAATTTTGAGAATGTATCAATAATGTAACTGAAAAAATACTTTTATAGATAGTTAAGAAATATTTAAACTTAAGAAACCAGTAATACACGCTTTAGAAAACTGTTAGTTTTCACATTTTTAGGCTCTTCCAATTTATCCTTGCCTTGAAAATGATGGGATTTTCTTCTTCTGAATGTTGACAAAATCAAATGAGGGACTGAGCAGACATCTGGCAAATTAAGACAAACACCATCAACTAATTTAGGCCATCACTTGAGTTTTTAAAAATTCATCTCTTATCCATTCAGTTTTGGCTTATTTACTTTTATAAATTATTGGCCTTAGTTATTTGATATGGCAATGCACAGCTAGAGAAAAATGGAGAATTTAAAGATTAATCTAGGTGTTTAAAAAAATTTGGTAATGATTCTGTCATAGTGTCATAGTATGATAGGTTTTGAAATAGAAGCTTTTTTTCTTTTTCTAGCTTAAGGAAATAAGGCAGGCAGTCATTTCTTATCTAAATCTTTATTAGAAGGAAAAAAACATAGATTTAAAACAATAACAACAAGTTTCCTTAAATATTAAACATTTTAGTTATCAAAGACATTTAGACAACATGTCCCTAATATTTCTGCACAGCAGAAGCACACTGATTATTATCTCTGACTGTCACGTGCTCATGTGAGTTTATTTTTGGCATAATATCTAAAGTCACATTTAAACAAATGCGATAATAGATAAACTGATAGTAACTTACTGTTGATTGTTTTCCAAAGCTTTCACAAATTATCATTATGCGATTGACATTCTTTTAGCATTGAATGCCTGTATGGACTGAGTAACAAACTGAATTGTTTCTTTTAAAAATTAGTAGTGCTAGTAAAGTTACTTAAAACTGAATTAGAAATTATATTCTTTTTCTGTTAGCACAATAAAAACGAACATGTTGTAAGTAAACTGGTTATTTCATATCAAAAGTTAGAAAGTGAAATGGCGTATAGAGAACAGGCTTTGATGAAAATAATCATTTATCATGGAGCTATTTAGTATATAACATCTGTGAGCACCCTTTCAATGAGTAAAGTTTCCCTTTGTAATTCCTAGGAGTTTTTCTTTTTAGTCTGTGTAAAACATTGAGCAATGCAGTCTTATACCTACTGTATTTTCAAAGATCTACTATAGAAAAGATTACATTTTTAAACTTCTCTTTTAGTAAAAAGGAAAAAAACCAAAAAAACAAGAAACCCAACAAGTGTCCTGGTGGGTTTTTTTTTTTTCCTTGTGTATAGCCCACATTCATGAATGTCCACTAGGCATGAGGGAAATTGTTTAGCTGCACAATGCACTCTGCAATAGTAAGGATATCAAACATACTAAAATGACAAATGGTTTCCAACCCACTAAGAGGAAAACAAATGCAAAAAGACTCGATTTAGTCACTAAACATCGCAGGTTTTGATTTTTTTAAAATAATGTTTGTAAACTTGCCCACAAAAGCTGGGTAATATTAAACAGCCAGTAAGGCACTTTGTCAGAGAACTAAGTAGTAGAGGCTGGATGATTGGCAATTTGTTTAATAGGAAACATTCTATAAAGAGAGCAAAATCTGGAGCAGGTAGTCCTCGTACTGATTTACTGTCAAACAGAGTGGGGAAAATTAAAAAAAAAATTTTTTTCATTTTGTTTACCAATTTTCCCTGTAGAAGAAGACTTTTAGTTGTTGGTTTTAAAAATATATTAAGAGCTATCAATTTAAATAATGTACCATTTTCCAATCTAATATTTAAAAGAATATCAACATATGCAGTCATATTTTCAAAACATCCAAGCCATTCTATTTAAAAATGAATTACAAAACAAAAGACCTTAGTATAAAAATGTTTCGTGTTATTAACAATTCCCTTGCAACTTCTGATGGCTTCACATATTACAATAAAAGCTTTGGTATAAAACATGCAAATGTAAGCCAACAAGGTCGTGAACACGGGTCGCTAAACACAAAGCACTTATGGAAGGAGCGTTGCGCAGACACGGCAGATGAGGGAAAGGTAACAGCGCTGTAGAAAGACCAGTTTGCTCTTCTACCGGTCCTGAGTTTCTGCACGTTCCTCCTGCAAAATCTTCAGCAGAGATTGACTCACGTAATAGGGTCTTGCAGAAGTACCATCGTTTCTTTCTAAATCTTCCACTAGGAGGAAGAATGGCACAGAGTAACCATCAAAGCAAAACCGTAAGAGAAGTAACATCGCCATCTGCTGCATACTTTCTTTATAGCAGTTCAAAAATGGTTTTTTAAACAGCATAGTTTGGTATCAACATTATTGTAAACATAGGTATGAGAAAACAATCAGCCCTTGTTATTAGGTCAGTAAGATATGATCTCATTCTGTGTACCAGACCAGATCCTGTCAATATTGCATATTTCTCATTTATTGGTGAGGAAAGAACTTTCGTATTCTTTTCCTTAATTTATTTTCCAAATTACCATAATTGTTCAGAATTGCCTTCATTTTGCCATCAAAAATTTACGTAGTACAGCCTTGAAAAAGTTTAATAAAGCTGTAGGATCTTCAAAATCCTTCGACTGCATGTTTTGAGAAGTATTGCTCTATTTTTCCCAGTTACTAGTTTAACCGTTTTGTAAGTAAATGGCTTCTAAATTTCTTCTCAAAAACAATGCTCATTTCTTACTCTATTTCAATTACACGAAGAAGTAATAAGTGGAGAATATTTTTTCTGACTAGAAACAAGGCCATACTATAGTTACATAGGCAATTAGTTTCTTATGTGCTAAACTATATTTTATTTGATTCTCCAACTTTTTTATTTATCATTATCATGTAATAATTCACATGGTGAGACACATCCAAACACAATATAACAGAATCTCTTGAGTGGTACACAGGCATCTTTTTTTTATAACAAGTTCTCAGGTACAAGTCACTATTCTATTAGGTCTTTGTTGAGGCCCCTGTGTTGTTGAATAATAAAATAACAACAATAATAGTAATTTAGAAAGATAAGTGATCACTCTTCCCTGCATTATGTTTCAAGGAGAATGAAAGTGAAGAAGACTCTTTGTCAAGATGTAAAAGCCAAGTGACACATTTGATCATATTAATCTCAAGAAAATAAGCCAACAAGAAATTGGTGGTCCTTAGACAGGCCAATAGTCTGAAAATCTTCCCTATTCCTTAGATTCTTGCTATTAAGCTGCCATGAAGTTGGTCCAAACTAGGTTTCTACAATTCAGGATAATTAAGTAAGTTAGTATTTAGATTAATTCATAACACAATAATACCTTTCTGACTTTTTTTGCCGGATGTATAGATTATATTATGATCAAGATGTTAAGTCAACATGCTCCTTTCTGTCAATACTGATTAATCCTTATACACAAGCTTAGTGTAAAAGCCAAAAGGATGTGAATCAATTCAGTGCTCCTTTTGGGGTGCAATTTTACACTGTTAGCCATATCACACACATTTGCACAAGGGATGGCTAGGCAAGGTATGAGAGTGTCTGACTCATGCTTTGTTCTGCCATGCAAGACTTAAGCATGGCTGCCAGAAACCTCTGACCAGCAGGGGTGGTGTATGGTGATACCTGCCCTTCCGCTAAGCTCTGAGGGAAGGCATATCCTAACCTCTTGTTTAGGTAGCCCTTCTACTTTTTCTTGGACCAGATGAGGTACCTAGTGGAGGGCCAACAGTTCATTTCCTTAGGGAGAAATCTGAAATGCCTTATTTACTTTTTCTTTTTCCTCACTGAAAGTTGAGGTAAAATTAAATCTTGTATAAAACAAAGCCACACAAGCTCTTTAATAAAAATACATATATATTCACAAAGAGACATAGTTAATCTTTTGAAACAAATCTATGTGATCTTTTTTATAGTGGAAATAGGAAATCTGGATTAGAGATGAAAGGCATGAGTTATGTGGCCATTTCAGTTTTGTTTGGAATTTTCCTTGGTGACCACAGGTTTATGTTATTGGAAATGACATCTAGAACTCAGATTCCACTTCAATATAATATTAATTTCACTAGCACAGAACAAGTTATGAAGGTTCCATAGAACTTCTGCTCAGTAACGCTCTCAGTAGGACCTGTGAAACATTAACATTTACATGTTTATTATGGACTTGACTCACTGAAATATACTCCCTAGGGAACCATTAATACAAGTTTAATCACAGTTTAGAGAGTTGTCCACCAGCTTGAACAATATAAATATGACCATAGCACCATATTTACAAACTTAGTACCTTATGCTGGTTAACTATAAATCAGTATTTTTATGGCTAATTGATTACACATTTGTAGTGCTTTCAAAAATTGCCTGAATAATCTTTACAAACATACACTTATAAAAAGAAAGGCTATCAAAGTGCTGCAGTGGAAACAGCACACTGAGTTATAAAAGTTATTAAAACACTTCTGGCTATAGATTTTTAAAAATGTTTGACATTAACACTTCTCTCTTCAGGCCACAAAGTATCCTACTTCACAGAGGCTACCATCATCAAATGCCTGACACCCAGATGGTACTGGGTGCTGATGTGATAGTAATAAACACAGAAATTTTACATTATTCCAAGCAACATTTTCAAATGACAATTGGCCTAATGTACAAAACTTCTACTTAAAAGGAAGTGATACTGTTTGGAGCTTTTCTACTTTCTGCTTCTAGGGAGCTAGTTGCTTCTTGACCAGAATTCCGTGCAGGTTAGGGGTTATGAAGTAGGGTTTTTCTGTAGATCCATCATTTCTTTCCAGATCTTCACCTGTATATGCAGCAGCCAAAGCAGGCAAAAGCAGCAAGCAGCAGCAGAACAATTATATGCATGTTTATAAGTTGGAGAGTCAAACAGGGAAAAATCAGAGAAATCAGTGTTAGAAAGTCTACATAAGACAAATTGGTACAGTAAAGTAGCTGAGGCTGGACAAGACGAGATGCTTCAACCTCTGTCAGGAAAGACTGAAACGTCTCAAATCCCTCCCACTCCTAAAGAAGTTTATTTTGATAGTTTATAGGTTAAGATTTTCCACGTCCTTTCAAAAAAAAATAGCTTTAAATCCTTTGTTCATTTTAGAAACATATAAATTGCCACAACCTTGGAGATGAAGTTGAATAAAAAGTGTATTAGCCCCAGGGACCAGCAGTTAGCGTAATGGCTATGTCGCTGGACTCCCATGTAGTTGAATGCAGTTTGAGTCCCAGACCCGGCGGCTTAAAGACTCACCAGGGGCGTGTATGTGCGTGCCCAAGATCCAGAGAGGAGATTGGAGGAGAAGGGATTTTGGTGCGGCCATCCCTCCTGGGGGCGTGATTTCTCGCATTCCATCTCTTTGTCTTTCTGGTGAGTGCATGTGCCCTATAGCAAAAACCTCTCCACACCCCACCCCACCCCCCAAGAAAAAAGTGTATTAGCCCTGTAGTAAGTGTAGAATAACAATTGAGTTTCAAGTCACTTTTACTGGTAGCCCACACCCTAATGTTACAGATGGAGAATCTGAATAGGTTCTAGACATTCTTTCAGATAGATTTTGAGAACTATTACCAATTACAAGAATGTGGACAACCATAGAAGGATCTCCAAGTATTGCTTCCATGATGAGCGTTTGAAATTAGAGAAGAGATCTTTGATCTTTCTAGAGCCGTTTCTACTATGTCTCTTTTTTAAGAAATCACTTATTTAACTATATTTGTTATTATTATGCTAAATTTGCTATAGTGTACATGTGCTCACCAGAGAGAGACAGAGAGAAGGAAAGTTAGAAAGCAAGCCACCAGGTCTGGGACTCAAACTGCAGTTGGCCATGTTGGAGTCCAGCCCCTCAACCACCATGCCACCTTCTGGCCCTCTACAATGTCTTAAGCTCTACCTTACTCCTGTGCACCTTCTTCCATCCCATATACCTGAATTGGAGTTTATGTGTTATTTTCTTTCTCTCTTTTTCTTTTTTTCTTTCTTTTTTGTTTGTTTGCTATAGGGCATGTGCACTTGCCAGAGACACACAGAGAGAGAGAGAGAGAGAGAAAGTGAGAAATCACACTCTCTCAGGGATATCCACACCACAATTCTTTCTTCTCCATTCTCCTCTCAGGATATTAGGCATACACACACACGCGCGCACACACACACACACACACCTGGTATGATTTTCAAGGTGCTGGGTCTGGGACTTGAACTGCACAGTAGGCAGTTAAAGTGAGATCCAGTTGCCTTAACCTCTATGCCATCAACTGGCCCCAAGTGTTATTTTCTTAACAGACCACTTAGGCACCAGGAAAAGATTAAACATTCCAGTTCTGTTTACAACTAGAAGTACTAACTAGTACACAAAATCCTCCTGATTTCTTTGTCTAGTTATCAAAAATTTATTTTAACATATTCAAGAAAAAAAAAAAAACAGAAAACAAGATCAGGACATTTTCTAGCCAGCTTTACCTTGACTACATCTCTCTATGTTTTATCCTCTCCCCTGAACTCAGTGTGCAGTTGGTGCTATGAGTTACTCTAAAAAAAATAAACCATTCATTTTATACAAGTGGTGCCCTGTCACAGAATAAGATTTTTCTGTTTCTGTCAAGTGCAATATGCCAGAAAAATAATCTCTCAGGTGTGTAGCTGTATGGCCATCAAGTTCTGTTCCTTTATCTCCTAATTTACCTTCTCTAGGTTTGCCAGAGAGATTGCATTGAAGGTGGAGTCCAGATGAAACTTGAGGCTTCATGATGGCCTCGAGGTTCTCCAAGACTTTTCAGATGAGATACTAATGTAAAACATTGCTTTTGTGTATGAGAGTTGCACATAGCACAGGAGAGCAGTGTGTAAGTTCTGAAGAAGTATCCCAACTCTATGCATCTAGACTCACTCAGCCACTTCCGAGATATGCTCCTGTCTGGATCCTGTCCATTTTTCATCGAGTTACAGAGCATGAATTAGCCCTCTGCATCTTTAAACCTGCAGCCATCTAGGCTTTACCAGAATTTATAAAAGCCCTCCTCAAAGAATTCCCAAAATTCAGACCCCAAAGACCCATTACAGCCTCAGCTTTGTTAAAGCATAACAGAAGCCAATCGTCATTATAAATCTGAAAACATTAAGAAATGGAACAGTCATTTTATGCCACGGCCTTGCCATAAAGTCTGAGGTTCATTTCAGCAGTAGACTTGCCAGTGTTCTGCAGACTCCATTCTCTCAACTGTTAAGGGTTTTCCTTAATTGTGATTTTTTATTTTTCCTACAGAGTTATTATTAAAGTATAGCGCCCTCCTAACTTTATTGATATATAATTGACAAATTAAAAGTGTTTGTTATATAATGTTTTAAGAAATACATATTGTGAATGATTGCCACAATCAAGCTAATTAATATATCTATCACCTCACATAGTTACATAGTTATTGTTAGTGTGTGTGTGTGTGTGTGTGTGTGTGTGTGTGCTGTGTGGTGAGAGAACTTAGCCAATTTCAAGTACACAGTACAATATTAAACACTAGCAATAATCACCATGCTGTACATTAAATATGTAGAACCTGTTCATCTTATAACTAAAAGTTTGTACCTTTTGACCAATATCTCTCCATTTCCCTTATTGTTACTAGATCCCTGGTCACTCCCTTACCCCTACAATATTCACAGTCACCATCCTTTATCCCTCTATGAGTTTGACTTTTTAGATTCTACAAATAAATGAGATTGTGAAGTAACTGTTTCTCTGTATCTGGTCTATTTCTCAGCAGCTAAGGTTTAAAGAGCATCTACCAAGCAATGTCTCCTTCCAGATAAACACCGTTTGGTGGCTGCAGCCAGGTAATATCACATCCACAAGGCAGCTAATGACACGGGTCTTCACCTTCTCATCATTCAGTTCTCCACTGAAGAGGGAAAATACACATCCTGAATACTTACAGAAACAGATGAAAATTGTCTCAACACACATTGCATAGACGCTGAAGAAGCCATGTGCAATCAGGTAAGATCCCAAAATGACAGTCTGTTAATGGATAAAGAAGAGAACCAACATGTCATTATTTTGTTCAGAAGAACAATAATGCGGCCGTAAATGAATGCTGCGATGGAAAAGTTTTTTTTATGAAAATGCTTTTGTATGCTTTTTCCAGAAATTCGAGCAAAATGTACTAGATTACCTGTCTATGTTCTTACTACCATCCCCAATGCCTTCCATAAGTAGTCCGGTTTTTAGGATCCTGTACTCTGAGGTGGTAAGACATGAGGGGTCAAGAGCACATACTGCCTGGATTTGAATCACAGCTCAGGCGCTCAGCAAGCTACTTAACCTCTCTGTGCAGGAGAATGTGAGTAATAACTGTATTTATGACATGTGGATTTAGTGCATTAATATAATAGATAACGCAGGGCTCTGCCCAGCTCTCTCCCTCAGTGGCCTCATCAGTCCCCAGTTGTGGGAAATGTAGGCTGCTGCTGACTCAGCAGTTGCTCACTAGGCACAGACCTCCCTGTGGGGAACCGCCTCGCCCAAGGTTGTGACCCCAGTCAAGATGGCCCATGGCCAACAGCTGCCTGATGCCATGTAGGAAGGGCCAGCTCCTTTGCTGGAACTCACTGTAATTAACTCAGAGGCTGAGCTGTAGCTGCAGCACAAGCCAACTTCTCCTGCTGCCCTGCTGCCTTCCTCACTTCCTTACAAGAGTATCTCAGGAGAGAAATACAGAAATTTAAGCAAAATGTACTGGATTAGCTATTTTCTGCCTACTCTCTTCAAGGCCAATCAAAATTAACTCAGCTTAAGGGACCAGCAGTTAGCATAATGGCTATGTCTCTGGATGCCCACGTGGTTGACTGTGGTTCGAGTCCTGGACCCGGGGGCTTAAACTCACGCTGGGCGTGTGTGTGTGCATGGCCAAGATCCCGAGAGGAGAATGGAGAAGAAGGGATTGCGGCGTGGCCATCCCCCCTAGAAGGTGATTTCTCGCCTTCTGTCTCTGTCTCTCTCTGTTTGTCTGGCAAGCGCACGTGCCCTATAGCAAAAACCTCTCAAAAAAAAAATTAACTCAGTTTTAGAATCCTGTCCGCTGAGGCAGTAGGTCCTTAAGGGTTACCAACTTCCTAATAAACCTTCTGCATATAATGCTCTGCCTCAGAGGTTGTTTCCAAGGAACCCAATCTCTAGAGCAGAGTGGAGTTGGAACAAAATAAGACCAATGATGTTAGCTGTCTATTTGTCTATTGGTTCTCCCATTCTTTTCTTCTTTTTTCTTTCTTTCTTTTTGTTTTTTCTTTTTTTGCCATTTCCGATAAATCAGAGTCAGCAATATCCAGCTGGTATGGACTGAATTGCCCCCCCCCTTGATATGTTAAACCCTAATCCCCAGTGTGATTTGAAAGTGGAGCCTTTGGTAGGTAATTAGGGTATTGCCCTTATGACAGGGTTGGTGCCATTCTAGGGAGAGATGTGAAAGTGATGAGATGATCTCTCTGTCTACAATGTAAAGACACAGCCAGTGTCCCTCTACACACCAGGAAAAGAGCCCTCATCAGCAAGCAAATCCGCTGGCACCTCATTGATTTGCACCAAATTGGACAGCACCTTGTTCTTGTTCTGGCACTTTCTTCCCGGTAGCTTCTGTTACATTTTCTGTGTGTGTATGAATGTTGCCTCTTCCAGGCACCTCATATAAGCGGAACTGTGTATTTGTCCTCTTCTACCTTGCTTATTTTGCTTAGGATAATGTTTACATTTCATTCCTTTTTTGGCCAGAGGGTGTGTGCATTTATTTGGCAGAGACAGAGAGAAGAGGAGAAGAAAGCATCCCCCAGTGGGGCATAGTCATGGTTCAACCTTGTCTTCTCCATTTCTCCATCCTGTCAAGGTTTCGGGCTTGCACACGCACATGCCTGGCATGTTTTCCAGTCTGCTCCAGCAGGGATTCAAACCACATGGACAGACATGGGGAATCTGGTTCCCTTAAACACTAGAGTATGGAACTGGTCACATACTTCATTCCTTATTAAGGCCAAAAATGTTCTCTAGGTTCATAATCTTATTCATTTCCCCAGCTTTCAGAACTATGATAAATAAATTTATATTGTTTAAACCACTCAGTCTATGGAATTTTTCTTATAGCAGTTTGAACCAAGACACCAGCTCTTACCAGCCAAGGTACCCAGTAGTAATTTAAACTTGTTGGTCCTTCTGTGATTATTGGCATTCTTTGTGTAAAGAGTAAGAAGGCCAGGACACCTACATTGAAAAGGCAAACATGTATATTATGAATTTGTAAAAAAATATAGTTCTTTTGTAATAAAGCAGTTTTTCCAGGTGTATCTTAAACTTTTTATTATTTTTATTATTGTTACTTACCTATACTCCCAGCAACTAGAATCTTCCCCAGGATTAATACAAAGTCTGTAACTTCATCTGTGACTGCAACTCTGCGTATTAGAAATAAAAGAAAACACAATATTGTGTTTAAAATAGATACGTTACTTGAAATTTATGGGAGTAAAAAATTCATGAGTTCATTTTGATATGTCTGTATTAAAATTTTATTTGGCACTTGCTAAATGTAGGCAATGATGGTTAAATCCAGGGATGACTTATTAATGAAGTAGACAGAAGATGGCATTGTAGGGCTGTCGGGTACCCAGTGACGGTGGTGTCAGCCTTTCTGATCTCAGGCTTATAAACACTGAATCCTGAGGACCCTGTATTTGTTCTCTGATTTTGTTCACTCAGGCTCCAGTAATTTTAGGAGAAGGGAAAAATGACCAGAGACAAGGTGATAATGTGGTTCATCTGAGGAATTTCTTGAGTAGAGGGGATAACAAAATTGAATAAATGCAATTTTATTCAATAAAATAAGACATAGGTATAAAGACATAGGTGGATGATGGAAGTGACAATTCTAAGACATGAAAAAATTTATGTGAGACAGAAGATTTAAATCTACCAAATTAACAGGTAATATTCATATCTAATAAGGCCACCAATACTTTAAATAACATGTGAAAGATGGCTCAGGGTTGAGCAAATTGTCTACTGCACTATTCAGCCTAATTACTTACTTTAAAATATTTCTCATCAGCAGATTGAAAGCATCTCTTGCCGACCTGCAAAAGTTTCTGCCATATATTGCAATCTGAGGGAGAAAGTTGATATTACTCTAGAGTTAGCAATATACTCTAACAAGACTAAAGGACAATCCAATGATAGAAAAATAACAAAATAACTCCTGTCCTGCCAAATGGCTATACCTATATCCCTTTCCAGCATTTGGGTATGTGAGAGGCCTGAAGCTGTGTGTCCTCAACTTTGCATCTTCTCAAGATCATTGGCAAGGGACCAGCAGTTGGCATAATGGCTATGTCGCTGGACTCTCATGTAGTTGACTGCAACTTGAGTCCCAAACCTGGTGGCTTAAACTCACGCCGTGTGTGCCCAAGATTCTGAGAGGAGAAAGGAGGAGAAGGGATTGCGCCATGGCCATCCCCCCCCCGGGGGGGGTAATTTCTCACTGTTTCTCTGTTTCTCTCTGTCTTTCTGGCAAGTGCACGCACCCTATAGCAAAAGCCTCTCCAAAACAAACAAACAAAATCATCGGAAAGAAGGTCTGCTTCTGAGTAAATATGACCCTAAACTCCGTTCAATTAGCCTCGATAGAGGCAGATCTTTATCTCAAATCCCAGGTCATGGCTTCTGTCTTTGAAATGGTTGGTTAGAGTTTGCTGGTGAATGGGTTCAATATTGTAGTCTCCATGTGAAAATTATTCTGAAGGAAAATGGCTGCCTTTTACTATACTTGATTCACTAATTCAAAAGCTCAGTGCAATATTCTCAGTGCAGATAAACTAATGACTATTTGAATTTTTTTCCAAACCCTGTGCCATTTGGATAATAAGTATCATAAGGTTGTAGCTTCCAAACTTTAAAAGAATTATATTTACAGACCCTTTCTTTTTAAAAAGTCTCTAGAAATCTCTGGATTCATTGAAGCACTATCAAAGCCCACACATTTCAGCACAAGAGTCATGAAAAGTCAGACCCTTCCTTACAATTACATAAATCACAGTTAGAAAGCTATTTTCTTCCTAGAGTGAAGTGTAAGATGTCCTCATTCTAAACTATATCAAAGACACACAAACCATTTAAATCTAGCACACATTTAAATGTCCAATGTAAATAATATTTTCCCTTTCAAAAAAAAAGATATTAAAGGAAATAATGAAGTATAGGTAAAATACAGCTCACCTAGAGAGGCCTAGATCTGAGTCAGACATTGGATTCACAAGTCAATATGGTGAAAATTTAATCAAATGCATGATGTAAAAGTGCTTGGGAGGGGGCAAGACAGACATGGGGCTTGGAGTTTTTAGAGAAGAAGCTTAGTAAATTAAAAATAATCTACTTACCATAATATAGGCATTTCTGTTTAAAAACTTTACCATTTTTTCCAGACACCAGAAACAGCATCTCAGGCAGCACTGCAGGAATTTAGAGACATTGTTCTGGGCATCTATGAGAAGGAGGTATTTAAATCTATTAATTTGCAGCTGAAGCCTGTGAATCAAAATGAGCAGTAAGAAGATATTTAAATGGGCTTTACATTTTTTTATTGTCATAAAATCTATGAAATAATATAATAAATTACCATTTTAAACACTTTTAAGTCTACAATTCAGTAGCATCAGGTACTTTTACAACTGCTGCAACCACTAGCCATTGCTAGTACTTTTGTCATCTCAAGTAGAAATTCTGGACTCATTAAACAATAACTTCTTATTCCCCCCACCTCTATAGCCCTATTATGCTTTCTGACTATAACAATTTTGTATCTTTTAGGTACCCCATTTAAGTGTAATTGTATTTTGTTTAGGTTCATATTTTCAAGGTTCATCATTTCATTCATTTTTAAGGCCAAATAATATTCCATTGTATGTATGTCATACATTTTGATTATACATTATCTGTTGATGAGAATTTGGGTTGTTTCCACTGTCCAGCTATTGGTGTTATGAACGCTGGATGGAAGTATCTGTTTGAGTCCCTGATTTCTATTCTCTTAAGTATCTAGAAGTGGAATTTCAGGACCATATAGAAATTCTTTTAATTTTTTTTTTCAGAGGGATTTTTGCTATAGGTCATATTTATTCCCTGGAGAGACAGAGATAGAGAGACAGAAAGTGAGAAATCACTCTCCTCCTCCTCCCCTCTGCCCCCATATGACCATGCTGCAATCTTTTCTCCTCCATCCCCTTCTTGGGATCTTGGGCATGCACGTACATATGCCCAGTATGAGTTTTAAGTCGCCAAGTCCAGGATTCGAACTGCAGTCAACAATGTGGGACTCCAGTGATGTAACCATTACTCCATCTGCTGGTCCCTACTTTTAATTTTTTTAAGGAATTGCCATACCGTTTTCCACAATGGCTGCATCATTTTACATTCTCACAAGCAGTACACAGGATTCCAATTTCTTCATATTTTCACCAGCACTTGTTATTTTCTGATTTTTGAAAATAGTCTTTGTAATAGGTATAAATTTTTTTTTTGAGAGGTTTTTGCTATAGGGCGCATGCGCTCGCCAGACAGAGAGAGACAGAGAGACAGAAAGCAAGAAATCACCCCCCAGGGGGGATGGTCATGTCGCAATCCCTTCTCCTCCATTCTCCTCTCGGGATCTTGGGCACGCACGCATGCACACGTGCCCGGCGTGAGTTTTAAGCTACCGGGTCCGGGACGCGAACCGCGGTTGACTACGTGAAAGTCCAGCGACATAGCCATTACACTAACTGCTAGTCCCTTAATAGGTAAATTTTTAAATTTTAATTTTATTTACTATTTTTAACTTGTTATAGGACATACATGCTCATCATAGAGAAACAGAGAGAAAAAAAGAGAGAAAGAGAGAGAGAGAGAAAGAGAGAGGGAAAGTGAGAAAGCATGCCACCAAGTCCAGGACTTGAGCCGGAGGTTGGTTATGTGGGAGTCTAGCACCTTAACCACTATGCAACCTGCTGGCCTCAGTCTTCTGGTTTTTTTTTTTTTAACTTTTTTTTTTTTAGCTTTTTCTTAAACTTTATTTATTTTAATTTTTCCAGAGAGGGATAGAGCAAGAGACAGAGAGAGAAAGAGAGAGAGAGGGAAAGTGAGAAAGCAAGCTACTAGGTTCAGGACTTGAACTATTGTCAGCCATGGAGTCCAGCATCCTTATCCACCATACCACCTGCTGGCCCCCAAAGTAGAATTTTTAATCTCCTCTTAAACATTTGTTTCTTCTGTTTTCCAATCTTAATAAATAGGATCAAACACTTTTTCTCTCTTTTCTTCACCATGACTTCTCCCTCACCTGAAATCCTTCAGCGACTCCTGCTGGGTTTCCCTTCAGGACACATCCCAAACCTGGCTGTTTCCATCCTTAGTACCCTAGTCCAAGTGACTGTCATCAGGCTTCCTCCACCCCCTACCCCAATATATTCTCTTCATAGAAGTCAAAAGTCTGAAGTAAATTCAAAATCTTACGTCTAAGACGGCGGTCCAAGTACTCTAGGATCACTTTGAACATCTGAACTAATGCAAGGATTAAGGATCCAAATGCTAGAGATCCTGTGTGATACCTGGGCAGAGATAAAATGAGAATAAAATGAGCATAGCAACACTATTAACTGAAAGTATATTAGTTTGACAACTTTCACAGTAAGAGAAATAAGGATTGAAAGGAAAGAGCTTTTTTGGTGCTCTCTTATTCCAACTGATAAAGGTCTCGACAGAGTTTTTTTTTTTTTTTCCATCCAGAATACACTGTATATTGGTTCAATCAAGCACATCAACATACGTGTTATCAACAAATAATTTTC